TGCTTTTCTTCCTTTGACTTTTGCTTCTCTTCTTTTTCCTTTAATTTCTCTCTCTGTTTACTTCTCTCTTTCTTTGTTTTTCTTCCCTTTCTCGTTCCTTTTCTCTTTTCTTCCTTTCTTTCTCCTCCTTCTTTAACTTTTGACTTTCCTCTCGCTCAGCAGCTTGAACTTCTTTTTCATGTTTCTGCTGTTTCATTTCTTCTAAAACATCATTTAGATAAACCGTTTTACTGTTAATGCCTCTTCTTTTAGGCTTCTTCATTGAAGCTTCAGGAAGAACAAGAATTTTGTCAAGAGCTGACTCTGCAGAATTAGAACTATTAGAGATAGATAAAAGTGATGCAGAGGTAGATAACACAGGTGTTGAGGCAGACATGATTGGCACTTCCATAGACAAAAGTGGCACAGAAAGAGATGGAGTTGGAGCTGAGGTTGACGAAAGTGGTGCAGAAATATTGCTTATTGAATCACCTGAAGTAACTGATAATGACTTAAAAGGATGGTTGATCCTTATCCATGCCTCATAATTAGGATCCCTAATGTCAAATCCTTCCTCAAATCTTTTTGTATATAGCTTTTCCTGTTCTTCTGTAAAAATAGGACTACTTGGAAGTGATTCGTTGTCATCTTCAGTGCTTTCTTGTGGCACACAAAAAGGCTTTGATGGAGCCAAGCGTCTATCATCTACAGCACTCGGATTAAATGGAAAAAGACCACATTTCTTGAAACCACTCAATATGTTAAGTGTCGTAAATGAATGAGGCCATGCATCAGCAACCAATGCAGCTAACTTATCATTTGTCACCACTCTGCCTGGATATTTTGCCATATAGTTTGAACAAGCCTTATTAAAATTAGCTTTAAAGGACTTGAACACACCCACATCAAGAGGTTGCAAGATGTGGGTCGTGTGTGAAGGCAAGCAAAGGAGATGAATATGATTTGCACGGGCAAATTCAATGGCTTCAATCAATACATGAGAAATGTGACCGTCCTGAATGAGCAAAACTGGTCTTGTAGGAGGGATATTTGCAACGAAAAACTTTAACCATTCCAAAAATATGTTAGAATTTATCCACCCATTCTCACTAGTGTGAAATGAAGTGTTAGGTACGGCTCCCTCTTTAAAATTGTCAGGTACGGGTCTCTTACGAGGATAGACCATTAATGGTGGTAATACGAAGCCAGTTGCAGACACACAAGCAACAACAGTATGTGTCCTTCCCTTCTCTGCTGACGTAAGAGAATATACTGTACGACGACCTAATTTCGTAACAACTCTGCCTGGACGATGAACAATAGAAATGCCACTTTCGTCACAGTTGTAAATTTGCATCGGCTTAGAAAGGTTTAACCGACCAAATATTGCTCCTAATTTTCCAAAGAAATCTCTTATAACATCTGGATTAGCTGATAAAGCTCTGCAATGAGATAGTGGCTGAGGTGTACGAATTGTTAGCATAGGATGTCGTTTTCGAAAACCATCAAACCATGAACGACCTGCCGAGTCACCAGTAAAAGGATGTTTTTTATTAAACTTCTCAGCTATAACAAAGGCTAAATGCATTACAGTTTCTCTTGTTAATCCATAACCCATGTCTGCCATCATAATCAAATATTCACATAATTTATCTTCCTCTTCTTTCGACAAGACTGTTGCATGGCCCGGTTTACAGTAAACACTAACAGTACCATTCGTCCTTTTCCGCAACGTCTCAACAGGCACATTATATAGTCTCGCCGATTCCCTTAAACCTTTCCCTTCCTCTGTAACACTAATCACTGCTGCGTGCATGGACTCATCGGTCCATAGCTTCCT